TATATATAATATATATATATATATATATATATATATATATATATACACTAGCTACCTACCATTCTCTCTGTTGTTAGTGCACTTTCCATGCATTTATTTATTTATTTCGACCGAGAAACATATACCTTACATTTTAGTTCGGATTTTTCATCAAATGCTACACATTACTATGAAATCTAAAAATACACAAGGTTTGCGCGCCCTTCACCACGTGCTGCGGTGAATGTTTCTACTGCGCGGAAAATCTTCCATCCAGGTACGCTTACTACGAGATACTACGACTGCGTATACCTATATATTTTCTTGCGTAATAAATATTTAGATATCGGGCGTGTCTACCATAGTTGTCATTGGATACATACAAGTGTCAAATTCGATAGTAACGTCATTTTCTCATTGTATGCAGCTGTATCTTGTGTGCTGTTACGGAGGGTCATAATTGGTACTTGTTTTCGTCAGCAAAATGTAAGTTAAATTGTTGGTGTTTTTAATCGGACCATATTGTCGGATGTGAGACCCGAAGTACTGCTTGCTATAGACCACCAAGTCGTTATGTCTGATTGTCAAGCTTGAATCCCATTGACGATGTCATAAGTATATGCAGGTATGTGTTATGTAACTTTTATCGTACAGACAGTTCTCTTCAGTGAAAGTGGTTGCTATTGCACTGGTACTACTACGCACAATGATTGTGGCATTATATACGATTTTAGGTTCAGAAGTTTTTGTATTGGCGATAGGTAGCTATAATGCTTTTGAAAGGTCCAAGTTTTATTATAACAGGCATTCCAACCCATTTTCAAGGGATGCTACAGTTCGCTCAAACATATACTGAATGTCGGCTGACAATATAAGACTGTTCTGTCGCAACCTTCTGCATTCAGATAGATATAGTCAATTAATCGGGTACAAACTCCCATCAGTATTCACATTATGTCTTTTGGCAACCCCTTCTTTTACACTACATTACATAGGTTTATATTCTACGGCTACTCCAACCGCGTTCTTCGCTTAGCTGTGGCTTCTCGATCGAAAGTATAATATTGCGACACCCTCTGGCTGTGTTCAGATCCAGATTACACTTTGCAAATCATCACTATAAACTCTAATTTGTAGTTGTAGACTTCATTTACTCCTGTCCGAATTGCTTTTGCCTTATCTTACTGCACACTTCTTCCTTAGATGTGAGCGTGGTCAACTGTTTGGGTGGAGGAATGAGGCTGATAACAAAGGCTTGCACGGAGCTCAAGCGGAGTATATACGGGTGCCTCTGGCAACGTCTACGCTCTATAAGCTGTCGGAAAAGGTTTGTTATTGTGGTTAAATGAGTATATATATAT